AAACACTTCCCACATGCAGTGCAGTGATACGGTTTCTCTCCAGTGTGGATCCTCTCATGTGTTTTCAGATGTCCTGACTGACTGAATCTCTTGTTCACATGAACATTCACACTGGAGAGAAACCGTACATCAAGACTATATTTGCTTGTCAAACTCTTTCCACACTGAGTGCAGGTGAAAGATTTCTTGGCTCTTTTCTTTAAGTCTTCCAAAGTTCTTTTAACAGTTCTGATGTGATTTTTCTTCTCAACTTTACTCAGTTCTTCATTCTCCGTGTTTTCTTCAATAAACTCTGAAATAAAAGTAAAAACGGTTCATTTTCAGGAACTCTGAAAAAAACAGAAATATGAAAGAACATAAAAGTGAACCCTGATGTAACAGTGTAAAATAGACAACTGTTATAAAAAGTTGATCATTTTTATAAATTTTTATAAATTATACGTCCCTGAAACTTTCCATAAATGGGATACATTGATCTTCAACTCATTATTTTTAAAACATTATAAAGTCTCTATAGGGAGAATTATTAAATATGTTTGCTCAACTGCACAATTATCTATCAGAAATGTTATTGAAAACAAAAGTACCCAGTTTATAGAAAGTGTCCCTTATTATCTGATGCTTCAGCACAATTATTCAACCGCTCTAAAGATTTTACCTATTCCAACAAATCTAAATCTTCCTGAAGCTTTATAAACTTCAGCCTCATTAATGAAGAATCAAGAATAAACAGAACACACTTCAAGGGCTCTGACCTTCAAAGGGAGTAGTGCCCAGGGATGCTCACTTCCGTTTGGAATTCTCCCAAACAACACGATCCTTAAGGGACCGTCTGACAGTTCCACCAATTGCATTAAAACGTCGAAGTTGAGAATTAGCCTAATTAAAATTAAAAATCTAAACTAATTAAAAATCATTTAAAATTCAGTAGGTTAGTCTGTAGTAGGTTCCTAGTGACAAGAATTACGTACTACAGGTGAGATTTTCCCATTCCAGTGCATTCCTAGTGTCTAGACTAGACTGACTTAATACAGGTGACAAGTGCAGTGCTCCGTTTACCTCAATTAGGCTTCCTCTCTTTACACCAGTACTCAGTTAAATTTAAAAAATACATATACAGTGCGTGCATAATTATAATGCAGGTCAATATTCTGATCTTTTTTTCTTTTTTTTTCAAGTACATTTTACCAATTCCAAACCACATCAGTCTTAATAACCACTAGTAATTTTACATATAATGATTTATAAGTTATGTATGATTGCTAACAAGGGCTGGAAGCGAAAAATTCTTTATATTCTGGTGTGCATAATTATTAAGCAGGGTTAATTTTATAGGTAAAATGGGTGAGTCAAATCACACTGCAAGTCAAAAATTATTAAATGTCCAGAAGAAGGATGCAATATTAATGCAGTATTAGAGATTGCAAAATTAAGGCGTGATCAGTTGACAGTGAAATGCTCTTTGGGTCAGTATAGTCACAAAAAACCTTTTCAAATATCAGTATTGAATTGATGTTATTTCACAACGTTTCATCTTGTGAGCTTTATTAAGCGGAGGTGATTCATAATTCTTTGCTTCAGTAACGTCTCTGAGAACCCGACACCTTGTGCTTCTGGAGACTCCAGTGTAGGTTGTATTTCTGGAAAATGGTGGAACTGGAGACTAAATGGTTCCTGGTGGTTTCACACATCGAGCACAGCGTTAGTTCAGTCAGGCCACGTAGGCATAGGCTGCGACCAGCTGACGCGGTCAGCTGTCAAATCGCTCCAATCACTACCATTCTCCTATTAGACACGGGACATATATACGTGGCATTACTGCTCGGTAAGTATGCTCAAACTGCTCGCAACCCTCACTCCCTCCCCATTATAAGCATGAGTATATTACTGTGCACCTTCTGGTTGTCGTCTTCTTTTGTTTCAGATCACTAAGGCTTTCAAGTCCTGGCTGGCATGGACCTCATTGTTGAGATACACTCATCCTCATAACTAGGGATGCACCGATACTGGTCTCCTGTACTCCACACATACACACACGGAGCAGTGAGTAGTGAACACAGAGCAGTGAGTAGTGAACACACACACACGGAGCAGTGAGTAGTGAACACACACAGAGCAGTGAGTAGTGAACACACACACACAGAGCAGTGAGTAGTGAACACACAGAGTTTATAAAAAAACTGCTACTTTCCTTCATGAAAGAATAAGCAAACTACAAGTGACACATATGCATTATAAGAAACCTGTGCTTTCTTATGAGTTTCATATTATGTTCAATGATATTGTTTATATCACAAAGCAAAATAAAATACAAGAATAAAGCTCTTGACATTGTTCTTTGGGGAGGAGCTCCACTTTGAGTTGATCTGAATCTCACAGTTGAATCTGCTGGTTATGAAGATGATGATCTTTATTCACTGTGAAAACTCTAGATAATGTTTATTTGTCATGTCGCTTGTAATGTCTGGTTAGGACAGAATTATCTAGATGATATTTTATTGCATGATGCATTGTCACATTTGGTGAGGATGCAGCATTAGACCTGAAAGTGCTCTGAAGATGATCTAATTACTGTGATTGTTTTCTGTATGACTGATAGAGAAGATGAACGAGTGAAACACTTCCCACATGCAGTGCAGTGATACGGTTTCTCTCCAGTGTGGATCCTCTCATGTGTTTTCAGATGTCCTGACTGACTGAATCTCTTGTTCACATGAACATTCACACTGGAGAGAAACCGAACATCAAATTTATATTTGCTTGTCAAACTCTTTCCACACTGAGTGCAGGTGAAAGATTTCTTGGCTCTTTTCTTTAAGTCTTCCAAAGTTCTTTTAACAGTTCTGATGTGATTTTTCTTCTCAACTTTACTCAGTTCTTCATTCTCCGTGTTTTCTTCAATAAACTCTGAAATAAAAGTAAAAACGGTTCATTTTCAGGAACTCTGAAAAAAACAGAAATATGAAAGAACATAAAAGTGAACCCTGATGTAACAGTGTAAAATAGACAACTGTTATAAAAAGTTGATCATTTTTATAAATTTTTATAAATTATACGTCCCTGAAACTTTCCATAAATGGGATACATTGATCTTCAACTCATTATTTTTAAAACATTATAAAGTCTCTATAGGGAGAATTATTAAATATGTTTGCTCAACTGCACAATTATCTATCAGAAATGTTATTGAAAACAAAAGTACCCAGTTTATAGAAAGTGTCCCTTATTATCTGATGCTTCAGCACAATTATTCAACCGCTCTAAAGATTTTACCTATTCCAACAAATCTAAATCTTCCTGAAGCTTTATAAACTTCAGCCTCATTAATGAAGAATCAAGAATAAACAGAACACACTTCAAGGGCTCTGACCTTCAAAGGGAGTAGTGCCCAGGGATGCTCACTTCCGTTTGGAATTCTCCCAAACAACACGATCCTTAAGGGACCGTCTGACAGTTCCACCAATTGCATTAAAACGTCGAAGTTGAGAATTAGCCTAATTAAAATTAAAAATCTAAACTAATTAAAAATCATTTAAAATTCAGTAGGTTAGTCTGTAGTAGGTTCCTAGTGACAAGAATTACGTACTACAGGTGAGATTTTCCCATTCCAGTGCATTCCTAGTGTCTAGACTAGACTGACTTAATACAGGTGACAAGTGCAGTGCTCCGTTTACCTCAATTAGGCTTCCTCTCTTTACACCAGTACTCAGTTAAATTTAAAAAATACATATACAGTGCGTGCATAATTATAATGCAGGTCAATATTCTGATCTTTTTTTCTTTTTTTTTCAAGTACATTTTACCAATTCCAAACCACATCAGTCTTAATAACCACTAGTAATTTTACATATAATGATTTATAAGTTATGTATGATTGCTAACAAGGGCTGGAAGCGAAAAATTCTTTATATTCTGGTGTGCATAATTATTAAGCAGGGTTAATTTTATAGGTAAAATGGGTGAGTCAAATCACACTGCAAGTCAAAAATTATTAAATGTCCAGAAGAAGGATGCAATATTAATGCAGTATTAGAGATTGCAAAATTAAGGCGTGATCAGTTGACAGTGAAATGCTCTTTGGGTCAGTATAGTCACAAAAAACCTTTTCAAATATCAGTATTGAATTGATGTTATTTCACAACGTTTCATCTTGTGAGCTTTATTAAGCGGAGGTGATTCATAATTCTTTGCTTCAGTAACGTCTCTGAGAACCCGACACCTTGTGCTTCTGGAGACTCCAGTGTAGGTTGTATTTCTGGAAAATGGTGGAACTGGAGACTAAATGGTTCCTGGTGGTTTCACACATCGAGCACAGCGTTAGTTCAGTCAGGCCACGTAGGCATAGGCTGCGACCAGCTGACGCGGTCAGCTGTCAAATCGCTCCAATCACTACCATTCTCCTATTAGACACGGGACATATATACGTGGCATTACTGCTCGGTAAGTATGCTCAAACTGCTCGCAACCCTCACTCCCTCCCCATTATAAGCATGAGTATATTACTGTGCACCTTCTGGTTGTCGTCTTCTTTTGTTTCAGATCACTAAGGCTTTCAAGTCCTGGCTGGCATGGACCTCATTGTTGAGATACACTCATCCTCATAACTAGGGATGCACCGATACTGGTCTCCTGTACTCGTACTCGTACTCGTTAAAATGCCCCGATACCAAACGCCGAT